GGCACAGAAAATAAGCTAATTAGAAGCAGACATCTACAATATTTGTGCAGAAATACAATGAAGGAGGGGGAGGGTGGGGGAAATAAGGTGAGAAAGCATGTTTGGATTCTGGTATTATATTAGCAGTTTTTCTATACCAATTATGAGCAAAAGCAATTAGGAGAGCCTAGTCACCATGTTGTACATGGCTTGCGCTAACAGCTGAAGAAGAGAGTGGAGGAGAAAGCAGGCTGCTGTTATTTTAATTGCATGTTTACCCCCAGGTTATGGGTCTGAAATAGAGCCAAGAAAAAAAAATGTTGCAGCAGGAATTCAATGCAACTTCACTGTGTTGATTCTCTCAGGGACAGAAAGAGTGAAATTACTTTTCTTTGCAAGCCGAGTCTGAATAGGAGGTAAAGAAAGAAGAAAAAAAAAGAGAGCAGGAAGATGAGAACAGCTTTTTACCCTTGAATACCAAACCAGAGTATTCTGTCAAAAGAAAGGGGAAAAAGCCTTGGCTCTTGAGCACGGTGGGAAGAAATAACACTTTGGTATGGCCTTCATTAGCCCATCAGGCTGCACAAACAACAGAGGCAGGAAGGATTGCTGTTGCTAGCTGAGGGACACGGGCGTGTTAGGCTATGACAGGCTGGTTTCACAGTTTCACACAATGGATCCTGATGACTCCAGCACATCCCGAGGCGTTCGAGATGGGCCGTTTGCTTTTCAGTTAGCAGAGATCCCCTCATCAACCCCGAGTGTTATCTCGCGCCAAAAGAGAAAGGGCGAAAGAGTTGGAGATAGCTCTGATCACGAGTAGAGGGTTAAAAAAAAAAAAAAAAAAAAAAAAAAAGGAAAAAAAAAGAAAGAAGAAGAAGCAGAAGAGAAGACAGCCAACCCAAACTCAACTTGCACACAAATTGAGAGTCTGTAAAGTAGTGGTTTCCAAGTTGCAAGTGTGTCAGGGATAAATCTGTCAAGTAAGGAAACTGCTGCAATACTGTGGGAGAGAGGAAGACAGCTACTTGAAGATGCTCTTCTTTAGAGGGAGGGAGGGGTTTGTGAAACAACTGGGAGACGGTATGAATGCTCAGTAACTAACTGATGAAAGAGTGACAGTTCCCCGAGGTGAGACGGTGGATGTGGAGCGGAGAGAGGCAGCATGCCCCTAGAATACTGCACAGTCCACAGTTGGATTGGCTAAATCTTTGCATAGGTGTCAGATATGGAGGGTTGGTTTCAGGATGAGAACACAGACTCTTAGAGAAGTTGTGCACCATGAAACTGAGAAAAGGAAACACCCTGACAGTAAGAGGCCTCTTCTCTTATCAGGCTGACCTCATTTGTCCTGTCTTGTATTTGCATCAGTAGTTCGTAGCCTCTTGGATGATGACCACAGCTCGTCACAGTGGAGATGATGACAGCGACATGGTAGCGAGATGAGAGAATGAAAACGTATCCGCCTGCAAGTGTCCTGGTCTAGCTAGGATATGTATGCCACAGCTATGTCATGGTCATTACCCATCCACCACATAACTGCTGCGAGGACAGCCAGCCAAAGTCCGTTCTTCAACTTGGGGTCAGTTTCACTAACAGCCACTTAAGCCTGCTTGGCTTCCCCAAGAGCTCTACAAAAGTGGAAGGTAGAGCTAAGTGTGCTCAGCCACGTCAAGGCTGGCCAAGGTCAGACGGGCAGACAGAAAGTGCTGGCAGCGGTGCATGCATGGCGTCATGAATGCCAAAATGCCGGGGCCCCTGACTGCGCCGTTTGACAGACATGTTTACACCTGATAGAAAATGCAGTGTGGATGGCCTGCCAAAACAGAGGGGAACCAAAGTGAGGGGTGCCAGCCTAGTTATTTATTTATCTGCAGCAAATCCATCGAGAGCACAGCCAGAAGCTGGGCATGCCTCAGTGAGGAAAGAGCCAGCCTATTCTCAGACATGACTCTTAAAACACCTGAGGGAGGGGGAAAAAAGATCTGACATACAGTAAAAGAAGCAAAGATTTCATAAAGCAACACTGGAGATTGGAATTGATTTCCTAACTGTTTTAATTCAGCTCAGAGGAGTTCTGATTGGCACGCATTTAAATTACTGAG